GGTGATTCGATCCTTAGGCAGGTAGACAGCTGGGTGGCGAACCCGCGTACTGACCGTATGGTGACTTGCCTGCCTGGTGCGAAGGTAGCGGACATTACGCGTGTTTTAGATAGGCTGGTAGATAGTGCTGGGGAGGAGCCAGTGGTCGTGGTGCATGTCGGCACCAACGATGTGGGGAAATGCAGTCGTGAGGTCCTGGAGGAGAAATTTAGGATGCTGGGCAGGAAACTTAGGTCCAGGACCTCCAAGGTAGCCTTCTCAGAAGTGTTACCTGTTCCACGCGCAGGGCCGGAGAGACAGGCAGAGATCAGGAGTCTCAATGCGTGGATGAGACGATGGTGTAGGGGGGAAGGGTTCAGGTTTGTTAGGCACTGGGATACTTTTTGGAACAAGAGGGAGCTGTACAGGCGAGACGGTCTCCACTTGTCCCGAGAAGGAACCAGGCTGCTGGCACTTAAAATCAAAAAGGTGGCAGAGCAGCTTTTAAACTGAATATTGGGGGAAAGCCGACAGGAGATGAAAAGTCTCTGGTTCGGGTTGGCTCATCTGAGAGAGGTGAGGGGGTACCGGTTGCTTTTCTACAGGGAGGTGGATTGAAATTGTCCACAGAGGCCATGGCTGGTGACATGGACTGCCGGACAACGACTCGAGATAGCAAGAGGAAGGATGCAGGCTTAACTTGTAAGGGAAATTACAGCTGTTTCTATACAAATGCTAGAAGTGTCCGAGGTAAAATCGGGGAGTTGGAGTGCTTGGTGTCGGAGGGAAAAATAGACATTGTGGGTATTTCTGAAACTTGGTGGGATGAGGAAAATCAGTGGGACACAGTGATTCCCGGTTATATATTATATCGGAAGGATAGGGGGGGAAGGGTTGGAGGTGGGGTAGCTCTGTATGTCAGAGAGGGTATAAAGTCTAGAAAGATTGAGAGGCTAAGTGAATTGGATTCGCTTCTGGAAGTTCTATGGGTTGAAATAGGGGGGCCAAAAGGAAACTTAACACTGGGAGTTTGTTATCGCCCACCAGATCAAAAGATAGAGGAGGATTATAAAATGATGAATGCCTTAAAGATAGCAACTAGACAAAAACACTGTGTAATAATAGGTGATTTTAACTACCCACACATTGATTGGGTCAATATGTGTTCTAGTCGAGAGAAAGAGATTGAGTTTCTAGACACTCTAAATGACTGTGCTATGGAGCAGATGGTCACGGAACCTACCAGGGGAGAGGCGATCCTTGATTTGGTCCTAAGTAACACTCAAGACCTGGTGAGAGATGTAAAAGTGATTGCACCGCTTGGAAACAGTGATCATAATGTTGTTGAGTTCATCATTTGTACAAATAGAGAATTGGCCAAAAAGACTCACACAACCATTTTTAACTTTAAAAGGGGTAATTTCTCTGATATGAGGGGACACGTGGGGAGGAAACTGAAAGGAAAAGTAGAAAGGGTCAAAACAATTGGGGAAGCTTGGGATCTATTTAAAACTACGATCCTAGAAGCTCAAAAAATATATATTCCGCAGGTTAGGAAAGGCACAAACAGGTATAGGAAAAAGCCTGCATGGTTAACAAACAGAGTAATGGAGGCTGTAAAAAGTAAAAAGAATTCCTTTAAGCAGTGGAAAGCTAGTCACAGTGAGGCTGATAAAACGGAACACAGGCTATGGCAAATAAAATGCAAGTCTGAGGTCAGGCAGGCAAAAAGGGAATATGAGGAGCATATAGCAAAAAACGTAAAAACCAACAATAAAACTTTCTTCAAATACATTAGAAGCAGGAAACCAGCCAGGGAGGCAGTGGGGCCCTTGGATGACCAAGGGGTAAAAGGAGTACTGAAGGATGATAGGGAAATGGCTGAGAAGCTAAATGCATTTTTTGCCTCCGTCTTCACTGTGGAAGATGAGAGGTGCTTGCCCACTCCAGAGCCGCTGAGTTCGGGAGGGGTGTTGAAAGACCTGAGTCAGATTGAGGTGACGAGAGAGGAGGTCCTAAAACTGATAGACAACTTAAAAACTGAAAAATCACCAGGCCCAGATGGCATACATCCGAGAGTTCTGAAAGAACTCAAATGTGAACTTGTAGATCTCCTGACAAAGATATGTAATCTTTCCTTAAAATCTGCCTCCATTCCTGAGGATTGGAAGGTAGCTAATGTCACTCCCATCTTTAAAAAGGGTTCCAGAGGAGATCCGGGAAATTACAGGCCTGTCAGTCTGACGTCGATACCGGGTAAATTGGTGGAAACCATTATTAAGGAAAGAATTAGTAGGCACATAGATGAACAAAACCTATTGAGGCAGACTCAGCACGGTTTCTGTAAGGGAAGATCTTGTCTCACTAACCTGTTAGTGTTCTTTGAGGGGGTGAACAAACATGTGGACAAGGGGGATCCAATAGATATTGTTTACCTTGACTTCCAGAAAGCTTTTGATAAAGTTCCTCATCAAAGGCTCCTAAGTAAGCTCAAAAATCATGGGATAGAAGGACAAGTCCTTTTATGGATCAAAAACTGGCTAATTCATAGAAAACAGAGAGTGAGTATAAATGGGCAGTTCTCTCAGTGGAGGGGGGTACGCAGTGGGGTACCGCAGGGATCAGTACTTGGTCCACTGCTTTTTAACTTGTTCGTTAATTATTTGGAGTTGGGAGTAAGCAGTGAAGTGGCTAAATTTGCGGATGATACGAAGTTGTTCAGGGTGGTGAAAACCAGTGAGGATTGTGAGGCACTCCAAAGGGATCTGTCAATTTTGGGCGAGTGGGCGTCAACATGGCAAATGGGGTTCAATGTGGCCAAGTGCAAGGTGATGCACATTGGAGCCAAAAATCCTAACTATAAATACACGTTGATGGGGTCTGAACTGGCAGAGACTGATCAAGAGAGAGATCTTGGAGTTGTAGTAGATAACTCACTGAAAATGTCGAGACAGTGTGTGACTGCAATAAAGAAGGCCAATGCTATGCTGGGGATTATTAGGAAGGGAATTGAAAACAGATCAGCCAATATCATAATGCCCCTATATAAATCAATGGTGTGACTTCATTTGGAATACTGTGTGCAGTTCTGGTCACCACACTTTAAAAAGGATATTATAGCTTTGGAAAAAGTGCAGAAAAAGGCAACTCGAATGATAAAAGGGTTGGAACACTTTCCCTATGAGGAAAGGTTAAAGCGCTTAATCTTATGTTCTTATGAGCCTCATAGCGGCTCAAAAACTCTTTTCCCCTCCCCTCCCCTCCCCTCCCCAGAAAGAGGAGGAAAGGTTAAGGCGCTTAGGGCTCTTTAGCTTGAAGAAATGATGACTGAGGGGAGACATGATTGAGGTTTATAAGATTATGCATGGGATAGAGCAGGTAGAGAAAGAGGTACTTTTCTCCCTTTCTCACAATACAAGAACTTGTGGGCACTCCATGAAATTGCTGAGCGGTCGGGTTAGAACGGATAAAAGGAAGTACTTCTTCACCCAAAGAGTTTTTAACACATGGAATTCACTGCCACAGGAGGTGGTGGCGGCTACAAGCATGGACGGCTTCAAAAGGGAATTAGATAAGCATCTGGAGCAGAGGTCCACCTGTAGCCCACCTGGGGTTGCGTATGTTTTTACCAAGGGGCAGGCCATGCATTTGGTCAGCCAGGCCATACACTGGTCTCCTTGGCATCATCTTGTCAGGCTCCCGGACAAGTTACTCTCAACCACACTCTTTTTGACAGTGATTTGTTTACTGAGAAATAGACATGATCCACACCAGAGCAGTACTGTGCCAGAACTGAGAGTTTTGGCAGGTACAGATACAGTTATAGGTAATTTGAATAGGGCCCCTTTGCAGACATCCCGCCTAGGCATTGCGTGGTCCACCCACTCCCCCTGGGAAATATACGATCCTATTATCTAGTCTAGCAAGCTGGCACCAAATGCTTCAAGGACATTCCTCTGGGAGGAAGGCTTCTTCAGGAAAGTTACGGGTTCTATGATAGCTTGATTCACACACTCAGCATTCACTCCCCTGCCCTCCCCCCTCCCCCCAGGAATCCCCCCCCCCACAGCCATGACAAACTAAGCGGAACAGAGTTTGGCACAGCTCTCCTCTCCCATCTCAGGAGTGTACACTGGTTATGTTGGTAATGGCCTAGCTAGAGGACTCTGTCCCTGTCCACAACTTTCCCTCTGGCTTTGTAAAAAGTTCCAATCTCGTCAGATCTCAGAAGCTAAGCAGGGTTGGTTAGTACTTGGATGGGGGACCTCCACGGAACTCCAGGGTTGTTACGCAGAGGAAGGCAAAGGCGAACCACCTCTGAACATCTCTAGCCTTGAAAGCCTTATGAGGGTCATCCTAAGACAGACCTGACTTCCACCACCACCACCACCACCACCACCACCACCACCACCACCACCACCACCACCACCACACACTGTGCCATAAAATTGACGGGAAAAGATTTTTGTCTTCCTGCTTCTCTTCCAGTGTGAAGGCCGCTTCCTGCCTTGGTGGCCTACAGTGGGAGGACAGAGTGCAGAGGGAGGTCCAAGCGACCTCAGGGGTGGAGGGGGTGACACTTTGTTTTGTGCCTACAAAAACAACAGCCATGTGCAAAGTGATCCCAACTCCCGGCCAGAGTGGCACGTCTCACAGAACTATCTGTCTTATCAATTGCTTGCTTTATAACATCATTAAAGCTCTATATAGGAGTGCATTGGCTTTGGTCTCACGGAACAGTCTGCCTGTTAACAGATCTTGATGAGAAAACCATTTGACAGAAAAATGAAGGGGGAAAAGGTGCCAGAAAGAAAGTTCCTAGATCCTAAAAATTCCAAGGGAATGATATAAACAAAGCCATATTTCTAAGCATTTGCTGTGCTTCTAAAAAAGAGTAAAGAAAACAGGCAGGAAAGCATAACTTGACTGCTTCACTGACACCATTCTTTTCTCCTCACAGAGGCTGATAAAGATCTCGTCTGTCACAGAAAAAGGAAATTTCCTTGCACTCAAAGACATACCTTGGCTGACCTTGTGATGGCCCCAATCTCAGAATAAAGGTCTGTACTGTCTGGGAATTTCTCCACCACTATTGTGCAGACATGATGTAGAAGGGACTGCTTATGCACTGTGTCCTTTACTTCTGGAACCTTCTCGAGGTAGCTCAGTTCAAAGGCTTTGGCCTGCACAAAGGGAAGAGGGGGGGGGGGAGTTAAGATGAAGCGTGCCCTTCTCTGAGCCAATTTTTTTCAGAAAAATTCCAAAGTAAGTTTGTGTGAGAAGAGAATGCTCTCAATAGCTTCCAGGCTGGGGAGGGAGAATTCATACTGTTAAAACTGCTTAAAAATCAAGCCATTTATCTCTCTTTTCATTATGCTTAAGTTAGAAGAAATTTACCTGAAACGATCAGTTACAGGCAACAATGAAGTATACAAAGTGACAAAGGTCACTTCTGGGGCATTCTGAGTGGCTTAAGACACATTTCCCAAGAGAAAGTGGGCAACTCCTCAACCAATAAACATCCACCCCTCCCACTGATCAGCCAGGCTAGCCTGACCTAGTATTTGCCTGGAAGCTAAGCAAAGCTGGCCCCGGTTAGTACTTGGATGGGAGACCACCAAGGAAGTCCAGGGTTGCTACGCCTTAAAGGCAGACAATGGCTAACTACCACTGAACATCCCTTGCCTCGAAAACCCTACGGGATGGCCTTAATTCAGCTGCGACTTGACAACACTTTCCACCACCACTTATAGACAACTGGGCAAGAAAAGCTTTGCACAAATGCGTGCCATATGCAAGGATATCCACACCATCAGTTACTGGATATACGGCTGCGGTCAGACGTGCCATTTGGTGCAGAGGGGAAATGCCCCTATTTCCTCCGGAGGGATTTGATGCGCAGTCATGCGATCACACATCCTTTTGTGCTGCGGGATCAGCCTGTCACTGTGCGATCAGACGCCACTTTGGGTGAGTGGGTTCCCCCCCCTTTTGTTTCCCATGCGCATAAACGAGGAATCGAACCTCCGTTCCCCATGGAGTATGTGGTTATGCACATACTGCTAACTGAGGGGGAAAAAACGGCAACGAGTTGGGATGGAATGGGCAGACCATCCCAACGGCTTGAGTGTGTGCTTGAGTGATCCGTGGCCCATCGGCAAGCATTAGGCCTGGACTTTTCCTGGTATCTTTCAACTCCACTTCCATGGCGGAGCAGCACGGGGTGCCGATGGCTGCAGGACCTTTCCCAGATGCTGCTGTCTGATCGTGCCCTTTCGATCCATCAGGTATTTGCAGCTGAGTCGGATCCAGAGGCACATCTGACCGCAGCCTATATGTGTCTGTGCTTCACCATAGTGTGACGAAGAAACGGGACACAGGGTGTTGGGCACAGAGGGAAGTGTCTGTGCAGAAAGACTTGGCTCTGAGAGGCATAGAGACGGGGGCCCAGCTGGAAGTGGAACAAGAGCCTCATGAATCCACGCTGCTGCCAGCCAAGCCTGAAGCAAGCCCCACCACACTGCTGCCGCAGGGATCGCCTTGGGTTGGCTGGTGTTGGTGAGGCTTGGGAGAGGGGGCTGGTCACTGTGGCATCATCGATAGCGGGGAGTGGTCCTCAAATCCGAGCAGTCGCTCGTGTGCCTTGGCCTGAGAACCAGCCCTGGGAAGAAGCAGCACTCAACCCAAAGGGGCAGGATTCGGCACCGCAGTATGACCCAGGACACTATTCTACTTTCTCTCATCCACGTGAGTAACTCCTGTGTGGAAAAAGGTCGAAGCTCTTGCATTTGGGGGCTAACACTGCTGGTAGCAACAAATGCTGCTCTCCCCTGCCAGCAGGGTTTGATTCAGACGGAATGCCCAAGGATGGTCTGATGCCACAGGAATGAGCTGGGTGCCCTCATGTGCCCTCTTTGCCTTCCTTATTTGGATTAGTGCAAAGCAGGCCCGTAGCCAGGATTTTGTGGCTTGCTGGGCAATTTTTTTTCTGGGGGGGCTGAGGTTCTCAGGGCAGAAAGAAAAGCCATTTAGCCAATAGAAAGCTGTTATCAGGATAGATCTCTAAATTGCAAGCTGATAAGCTGGCAGGTGGGGGTGATGACTTCTATAGTCAAGAAAGCTAACAGGCAGGAAAACTCTCTTAAAGGAGACTCTCTTGACACAGAGTTAGAAGGGATCCTAGAGGTCACCTACTCCAAACCCCTTGCTCAGTGCAGGAATTAGTTTACTACAGCACCTCACTCAGCTTAAAGGAGAGCATGCCTTTTAAAAATGTTTTGAAATGACTGAAAAAAAGCATTTACAGGAGAAATTCTTGTGGGGCTGTGTCTTTAAGGAAAGGGGCAGAGCCGTCAAAAGCTCCAGCATAGCTAACGGGCCTTAAATTCCATTGCTGAGATTAGTCCAAGCCACAGTTTGCCGTGGCATCAGAATGGGCTAACTAGGAATTGCCTTCACCTGACAAAGCAGCCAAGACGACGTTCAACACCTGCATGAACATTGCTTTGTCTAATCGTAACTACAGGACAGAAACATGACAATCAAGTAATGGTGGAGGAAAAGCTTACATTGGTTCCATTGAGGAAATTCCCAATAGCGAGCAGAGTAGACAGGATAAATCCCAAGGTCTTATTGTTCCCCAGCTGGTCCATTCCTTCCTTCAAGTCCAAAAGTGGTTCTGCCACCTCCTAACATCAACAGAAAGACGAGAAAAAGCTGAGCATTCACTTATTTCTTCACCCCAAACATTTCCCAATCTGTGTGCCACTGAGTGTGAAGGGACTGGCACCGAGCACTTCTCCCTCTCTGGCTTCCGAATGCGCTCAAAGGCGCAGCTGCTTCCATCTGAACAGCACACTACAAACTCCCAGACATCCCCATTCAATGACTCTTAATTTGAGCAAGAGGCATGATAGCCGAAGAAGATGGAAGGTTCTGGAAATTTGAATTCTGGAAGATTTATTTAGCCTGATTTCCCCACTGTTCTGCACTTGATAAGGTACCACTTCTGTGAATTAAAACAGCACAATTGAGCTCCGTGGCCCCGGCCTTTACAAGAGCTCCATAAATCCATCCCAGCTGAGGATCAGGCTGACAAGAGTTTCCCAAAGGAGCCACCCAATACTGAAGCTCTCAGTAGTTTTTTTCTTTCCTTCTCTGCAGTATTGGAGAAAAGAGAATAAAGATCACCTCCAATAAAACACAGTGGCTTTTGATTTACCAAGAAAGCTGAATCCATTGGACTTCAGACAGGACATCAGGATGGCTACAGAGTCCACCTCCTTCCCACCACCAAACAGATTATTGGGAGGCAGGGAGGGAAACGGGGGGCCAAGGCCAGGAGCTCTGCCCTGACCGTAGACAGCCCCCAGGCTGGCCTGATTTGGTCAGATTTTGGAAGCTAAGAAGGGTCAGCCCTGGTTAGCATTAGTTTACAACAAACAGGATCATGGTGTATAATAGCCAGTAAAACAGCAAATCACCGTGTACAATTAAACAATATTTGTTAGTTTTTATATGCTATGTGTACAATTCAATTATTAACAAGATTACAACAATATCACTACAATATACGATATAAAGCTTAGCAGTATATACAAAGTAATACAATTACTAGTTACAGAGCTGCCCTCCCCACCCACCCAGGAACAGCCTCGTTGTGAACAATTCAAGTGAGCCGTGTGCAAAACCTGCTTTCCAAGGAGAGCAAAGCCCCTTTGCGGGAACTGGGCAGCAAATACAACCCACAGGTCAGGAGTCCCCAACCCTTCTGAGCCTGTGGGCATCTTTAGAATTCCAACAGAGTGTGGTGAGTGTGGCCACAAAATGGCTACCACAGGGGGTGGTGCCAGCCACAAAATGGCTACCACAGCTTTCCTTCAGTCACAGAGTGAAGATCCTTTTTAAAAATCTGCACAGCCAATCATATCCCCAACGGCCAATTAAATGCCCTGCTGGGCAAAAGCCCCAGTGGGACCCACCCACTTTCTAAAAACCCTTGGAGGGCACCAGGAAAGGTGCTGGAGGCTGCTATGGTGCCCGTGGGCACCCTGTTGGGGTCCCCTGCCACAGGTTAATCCTGAAGGAGCTGGCTTGAAACCTCTATGGTCTGCTACCAATAGTTATAAAAACCGACGTTCCAGTTAAGGGCCAGACGGAATTCTTTACCCACTTAAAAAATAAAAATAAAAAATCAAAGCAGCCCTGGGGAAGATGCATCCGTGCAGATGTGCTTAACTCTTTGCCTGCTCAGTCCTTTCCAAGCTGAACCTTGCTCTCAACAAGATTTTTTTTCCCGGGGGGGGGGGGGGAGGGATACAGAGAAACCACAGGGAATCCCCACTCTCCCCCTCCCTGTTAGGGAATAAAATGCATTTTGGGGAGAGCGATTCTGACTTCAAAGAGGACCAGGCAGGGGAAGGGCCACGCAACTTCTTCCCAGGTATCTGTCTTCCATTCCGAACGGCAGCTAGCCCAGGCTGCGTAGGGTTAAAAAACCCAAAATGCAGAGGAAGGAATGACAGACTTCTGCAGAAAGGGGCACCTGAACCACAATTGACTGTTCCAGGTCTCCCTCTGAGAGGATATTGCTTTCTAAGTGAATTTGTGATAACTTTCACATGTCAATCTGCAGCCTTTTTCTCTTAAGAAGAGGCGCATGGTGTCAATGCCAGTGGTCTGTGGCTCTCACTGTAGCCTTCTGAACTCCAAACGTATCTGCACGGCAGGGCCAGCTCTCCAGCTACAGCAAGCCATGCTACGGGGTGCCAGGTGCCGATGCTTGGCAAAGATCCAACACGATTCCTGCTTGGTTTCAGATTTCTGCAATCCAAACCCTGTTGTATTGTTTATTGGATATTCTATCCTATTGACCGGATTGACTTGTGCTGCATAATCCACTTGGAGTTTCAGGGAGAAAGGCGGACTGTAAATGACTTCAATAAATATATTTATCACAGGCCAATGTATAAGGACCAAAGGAATGTGTGCTGAGGGTGGGGGCGGGGGATGAAGCAAAAAATGGTGTGTGTGTGGAGGGGTTAACCCCCTGTTCCATGGCCCAGATTCTATTTGGGCTCCCCTTGCATGTAAAAGGTAGAGGTAAAGGTTTCCCTTGCTCGTAAACCAGTTGAATCTCTGTTTCCAAGCCGAAGGGCCAGCGCTGTCCGAAGACATTTCCGCGGTCATGTGGCCGGCATGACTAGACACCAAGGCGCACGGAACGCTGTTGCCCTCCCACTGAAGTGGTCCCTATTTATCTATTTGCAATTTCTTGCTTTCGAACTGCTAGGTTGGCAGGAGCTGGGGCCAGAGACGGGAGCTCACTAAGGTCCCAAACGGCTGAACGACAGACCTTCCCGTCTGCAGCTCAGCATCTTAACCTCTGAGCCCCTTGCATGTAAGTTATGCTTAAAAAATTGTGGGAGATCTGTTCATGGATCGATGGATATCACATTTAGTTTGATGTTGTCCTAAACACATGGAACCGGAATCCAGAGGCCGCAGCCCCCAGGAAGAGATTACCTTTTCCACAAGCTCGTAATCCATCTTGAATGCCCACAGCTGAAGTCGGGCGGAAAGTTCAGTGATGGAAGAAAGGGTCAGGAGGAACTGTTCGGCACTGCCCAGCGGGATGTCGGGATTGGCCAGCTGAGCCTCCTGGATCTTCTGTTTCTCTTCTTCCGTGGGGATCATGGTGAGAATTTTCTACAAAGACAGAGAAGGGCCACGAATAAACTCCTCGAGGCGGCTGGAGATCTCCTGGAATTACCAACTGGTCTCCAGACGAGAGCGATCAGTTCCCCCGGAGGAGATGGCAGCTTTGAAGGACAAAGGCTCCCTGCTGGGCTCCCTCCCTCTATCCCTCAATCTCCAGGAACTTCCTAACCCAGAGTTGGCAACCCGCCCCATGAATGACCCGACTGCACACCCAGATTCAACAACCCAGGCTCTATCAGAGCTTTAAAAAAGTTTTTAGGAATATCTGAAGGACTATCCACATCAGGTCTGGGCTTCTGAGGTTATAAACTTTGATCTATCTCTCCAGTCCAGTCTTGGCCTCCCTTGGAAACTCTTTGCAGCATTCGAGGCTGTGCACGCGCATGTTCTCCGTTGCACAGCGAGCCACAGTGACAATCACCTGTTCAGCATAGCAGGAGGGACTGAATCCAACCCAGTTCCCCGTCCAGCCCCTTGAGCGGGTGACCGCCGGCTACATTTACACAGTCCAAGATGCTGGAGCTGTAGGGATGGAGAGGCGGGCTCACTCCGCAAAGCTGTGCTGCCTGCAGCCCACTGCGCCGTGCTCACTGAGCTACAGGGGGACCACGGGACAGGGCAAAAGAGAGGGGGCATTTTTCTTTACCTAAGGGACTGCATGATGCATATATGGAGAGTATATCGGGAAATACTCTCTCTGCTGTGGTTTCCCTTTCGGTTTTATTTATTATGCCTCTGAAAATATGCTCGGAAAAGGGGAGCTGGACTCCAACACATGCCTTCTCCACAAACGCTTTCCCTATGCACTCAATGGTGACTCTCGAGAACCGAGCCCACTCCCAGCCATCTAGCCTGGCCCTGGACTCCATTCCTTTGTCGCGCTAACCGGTAATGTGACCCAGGAACCAGGAGCGGCAGCTTGTTGTGGCTGGGCTGAGGAAAGCTTCCATGCCGTTTTAATTCTTGTTTTTTCAACAGGTATCATCGAGACACTGAAGTGCCGTCAAGATGAACAGATGAATGAACAAACTTCTTGAGTTTTACCGTTCGTTTCGAGGCATATCTTTATCAAACTGATCTCAATTTTCCAGTGTTCTTTTTACAGTACAATCCACCAATAAGGTATTCATAAACTCAGAATGGCTTCCCACAGCTCTTTTGCTAACAATTGTTTCCTGTTAGCAAAAGAGCTGTGGGATGCCTACCTGTTGAAAAAACAAGAATTAAAATGGCATGGAAGCTTAACAGCATTATTGTCTCTATTCATTCAACTGTATGAACTATTGCAGCAATTCACTGTATGTTGATCTTGTCTTGATTGCTGTGCCCTTTGTTATCGTTTGGGCTGAGGAAAGCTACACCTGCCCATATTCTCTCTCCTGCAAAAAAAATAAATGGCCAAACTCAGGAAGTGGCTCTCATGCTGCAGGAAGGTTGTGGCTTTAAAAGGGATGAAGGCTTAGGGACACAAGAAGAGCCTGGCTGGATTAGCATCCTGTCTCACACTGTGGCCAACCAGTTCCTCTGGAGGGCCAACAACGGGGCATAGAGGCTGAGGCCTTCCCCAGTGTTGCCTCCTGGCTCTGGGATTACTGCCTCTGAACATGGAGGTTCTGTTTAGTTCCCATGACTAGTAGCCACTGACAGACCTGCTGATAGCCAATGACAGGCTTCCCTTCCCTTCCCTTTTAAAAGCTCCCCGTGTTGCCATATTTTCAGTTCCCCACTAAATGGAAATCACAATCTGCTCAGCAAGCCCCCGTGTTTTCCTCAGTACCTCTATTCCTTCCTTATTTAAGGCATATTCGTCAAAGTTCAAAATGGCAGTCTTAATTGTCCTCGGAGGGGGTAATACTGTCAGTCCGATATTGATGGCATTGCTCCGTTTGGAATCCAGCACAATGATTTCTTGCCTCTTCCCATCAGCAGCAGTTTTCTGAGAGAAAAAGAGTGGAGAGAAACAAAAGGTGAGCTCTTGGACGCAGTGTGCCTGTTGACAACAATCGGCAGGAACCCCACTTCCACAGCACACAGTGCAAATTTTGCTCTAGAGCAATGTGCAATTCAGTGGTGCAAATAACCCGTGAAGATAAGGCGCAACATATGAGAGGAAGCCAGACTGAGCGGGCTGCAGTGGGGTGGTGGACCGGGAACTGCTACAGCTGCTGGAACTAGTCATTTCTATTCCTGGGACACACTTGCTCAGTGGCAGAGCCTCTGCTTGGCATGCACAAGGTCCCAGGTTCAGTCCCCAGCATCTCCACTTAATAGGACCAGGCAGTAGGTGATGTGAAAGACTTCTCCACATGAGACCCTGGGGAGCTGCCACCAATCGGAGTAGACAATACTGATCTTCATGGACTGAGCACCTGATTCAGTATAAGGCAGCTTCAGAGAGATGGTGCCTGCTTGGAAACTGTGGTGCAGAAAATGTTCTTGCTGCCTTTTGGCCAGTGTTCCCCGTCTGATTCTCTCACCTTTCCCCCAAAATACCTGAACGTGCTTTATGGTGTCAGATGCAGAATCCATCAGAATTTTCTGAGCTTTCTGAGCAAGCGGATATCTCACATTTATTTTGCCACCCACCTAAGAACATCCAATCATCTCCTACTGTCAACATATTGTATGATTTTTGACGGCCATTTTGTGTCAACTGTCTGAGCTCTGCTCCTGTCACTCTGTAATTGCGTAGCCTCACCTTCCTCATGGTCAGCCTATCCTACTTCCCAGGGTTGTTATGACGACAGAATGGGTCTCCATTCTGGGTCTCCAATGGGGAGAAATGAGGCACATAGACAAATCCTTGCCATAATTCTGTCTAGGATCTGCATGGTCCTTCTGAAAGAAGGCAAAGGCTGAATCAGCAGCCAATGGGCATTGCCAGAAGAGGTGCCTGCAACACCCCAAAGAGGTGACCAGTTCTTACGGCCATTGTCATGGGTGCGAGGGGAGCCAGTGGGGAGCTGCCGGAAATGGGCATTGTAATGTATTGAGACGATTACATGAATCACCTCATAGGACTCCTATGTTAAGCTTCGAGCCAGACCAGGGCTCCTCTGAGCGAACTTCCTATTGGTCGCTTCGTAACAGCGACCAATCAGAACGATACCATTCCCTAGGAGGGAAAGACTCCCATTGGTCCTTAACCAAGCAATCTCATTGGTTGTTAAATGTAAATAGGCGTGGCTACATTAGCCCGGTTATGTTTAAAAGGAGCATAAGCTCCCACTGTTTCTTGTTCTGGTTTCTTACTGAGTTGAGTGCTTGTTCGTTACTTCCAATAAAGCTGAATCACTTGCTGAATCACTCTAAGAGTCCTTTGTTAGCGCGATCTAACAGGCATCCCTTCCCAGGAGCCCTCTCCCTCCCGCCTGCCCCCTTCAGCCTTGGAGAAGGGCCTCGTCTAGCTGCCACCACTCTGGTCTGGGGGTTCAAACCAGAGAGGGCTCAGAGTACCCCCCTTCACCCTTCCAAACAGCACCCCCCCACACACACACACTGGTGAGGGCCTTGCCAGGTGAACAGTCAAGCCTGAGGCATGAGGACCAGGCCGATGAAGACCAACTTTTATTAAACAAGGTGGGGAGTAACCAACAGATGGGACCGCCGGCTTTAAACATCAGCCAACAGGGCACAAAGGAGCCAGCAAGAAGACAACGAAATCTCCTGACATGGCTGCCTGGCTGCTTGCTGTTCGGCCCCCAGGAGAGGAACGGGGGGGGGGGGGGCTTATAGTCCTTCTCTCAAGGCTCCGCCTCCTGGGAGGTGACTGACCTTCCCTTTTGCCCCAACTTCACCCCAGTCCATCCAGAAGGCTCAGACGGTACCTGGGAAATGTAGGCCTGTTGCAAACTTTACACCAGGCCTCTCAGAGTCTTCTGCGTGGCCTGAGGCCTAAGACCATGACAACATGGGCAACAACTCCCCCGTGGGGACACCAGTGTTTGCTTACTCCCCAAAGACCCTCGGATGTGACTGCCAGGGGCCCGGATAAAATATCCCATTTGATTATTTTGTTAATTAGGGTTGCTAACCCCCAGGTGGGAGCTGGAGATCTCCTGGACCACTTAGATTGGTTATTTATTATTTAAAACATTTATTCCACATCTCCTGGAGAAAAGGGCTGCTTTGGAAGGTGAACTATACGGCACTATATCAGACCGAGGCCCCTCCCCTCCCTGAGCCCCACTCTCCCAGGCTCCACCCTCAAAGCTCCAGGTATTTCTGAACCCACGGCTGGCAACCCTAGTTATTTATTCATGTTATGTTCACAGCCTCCGGAGCCCCCTTGCTCGCCCCCACAGCCAAGAGGAATTGAGCTGTGGCTCACTGCCAGAGTGTCTGCTTGGCATGCAGAAGGTCCCAGGTTCAATCCCCGGCTGCATCTCCAGTTAAAAGGATCAGGTAATAGGTGATGTGAAAGACCTCCGCCTGAGACCCTCAAGAGACGCTGCTGGTCTGAGTAGATAAGACTGACTTTGATGGACCAAAGGTCTGGTTCGGTACAAGGCAGCTTCATGTGTTCATGTGACTCAGGTTTGCTGGACAGTCATCTGAGGTCACAGAGCCCTCAACAAATTAAAGTCTACCCAGATCCAAACCCAAACCCAGGGAATGCCTTCAAGCCACTACTCAGCCTTTGTTGGGCCAGCCATCGCTTTTCCTAGCTGTAGCACAGACACCGTTTGACTCACAGCAGCTGATACTCTGGAAAATTTTGTGGGTCTCAGTGGAGCTTCTGGACTTGAATTTTGTTCTGTTGCACTCATACCTTACACTCCTGAACCTCTGCTCCCTGTAGGGGTGAGCTCTCATGCTCCATCTCTCTCTCTCTTTCCTGGGCTTGCCTTTTCTTCCCACTTTTCATCAACTGTCCTTTTCCAGTTCCCAGAGTTGTGTTCTCTCAGCTTCCTGTTGTCTAGGACACAAGTTCTTTGGTAGGACATTACTTCGGAGTGTGAGAAGGACTGTGAGGCTCAGAATACTGGTCGCAGCCAACTTCTGGTGACCCCGCAGGGTTTTCAAGGCAAGGGACGTCCAGAGGTGGTTTGCCACTGCCTGCCTCCGGGTCACGAGCCTGGTATCCCTTGGAGGTCTCCCGCCCAAATACTAAACAGGGCTGAGGTGCAATCTGATGCCACTTTCCACCACCCACCAGGAAGGGTGCAGAAGGCGTCTTCGCTTGCTTCATTTAGGAAAGTGTACAAGACTTCTCTATTTCAGAGGGCCTTCAGTGGAGGTAAACTGGTCACATCTGGCTATGCTTTTAATCTCTGCAGATTTACTCCACATTATTTTCCTTTTTGTTAATGGATTTTGTTAAGTTTTCATGTCCCTGCAAACTGTGGTTGCATTTTTAGCCACCTTAAGGAAATAAGGTGAGATCTGAATATTTAAAATAAATGAATTACATAAACTGAATGTGCAGGTTTTTTGAGCACTAGAGCATCTTTTCAAATCTGTCAACATGGATGGCAGTGGTATGAGTGTGGACCACAGTCACCAAAACCTTCACCGTGCCACTTGCAACTTGGGGGCGGGGGGGGGGCTGTCGTCAACCATAAAAATGAAAGAAATTGTATAATGTTGCTTGACCTGCCCTGGATGGCCCAGGCTAGCCTGACTTTGTCGGATCTTGGAACCTATGCAGGTTGGGTACTTGAATGGGGAGACCTCCAAGGAAGTTTAGGGTTGCTACACAGAGGCAGGCAACGGCAAACCACCTCTGAACGTCTCTTGCCTTGAAAACTCTACAGCGTCCCCATAAGTCAGCTGTGACTTGACAGCACGTTCCAACACCACCGCATGATGCATGCTGTTTTCGAGAGGGAATCTCATCTCTTGTCTGCTAAAAAAACCGTGCAATTGTCTAGCTACCGCCCCCACCCCTATTACGTGGCCTTCTGAATGTGTTTTGGTCTACTGCTAATGAAGAATGCCTGGAGACCCAAGCGTAGGGAAGTGACTATCATAGGTATGTGATGCAAAAATCACAGTTAAGACACAGAAGGAGAAGTCAACTGGGTTGTGGCAAGATTAGTGCTGCCAATTCAGGGTAGGGAAATTTCTGGAGATTTTGAGGATGCAGCCTGGGGGTGGTACAGTTTGGGGTGTGGATATTGTATATTGTCACCTTGCTTATTTAATATATATGCAGAGTACATCATGCGAAATGCTGGCCTGGATGAATCACAAGCGGGTAAGATTGCTGGGGAAAAGATTAACAACCTCAGATATGCAGACGATACCACTCTAATGGCAGAAAGTGAAGAGGACCTTAAGAGCCTCTTGCTCAGAGTAAAAGAGGAGAGTGCAAAAGTGGGCTTGAAGCTCAACATCAAAAAAACTAAGATCATGGCATCCCGCTCCATCACTCCTTGGCAAATAGAAGGGGAAGTCGTGGAAGTAGCGACAGACTTCACGTTCCTGGGATCCCAGATCACTGCAGACTGTGACAGCAGCCATGAAATTAAAAGACGCCTGCTCCTTGGGAGGAAAGCGATGGCGAACCTAAATAGCATGATAAAAAGTAGAGACATCTCCCTGTCAACAAAAGTCCGCATGGTCAAAGCAATGGTATTCCCAGTAGTCATGTATGGCTGCGAGAGTTGGACTATAAGGAAGGCCGAGCGCCGAAGAATAGATTCTTTTGAACTATGGTGCTGGAGAAGACTCTTGAGAGTCCCTTGGACTGCAAGAAGATCAAATCAGTCAATCCTAAAAAAATCAACCCTGACTGTTCCCTGGAAGGCCAGATAATGAAACTGAAGCTCAAATACTTTGGCCACCAAATGAGAAGGGAGCACTCGCTGGAGAAGACCCTGATGCTGGGAAAGATTGAAGGTCAAAGAAGACAGGGATGGCAAAGGATGAGAGGGTTAGACAGTGTCATAGATGCAACGAACATGAAATTGAGTGAACTTCAGAGGACAGCAGAAGACAGGAGGGCCTGGTGTGACTTGGTCCACGAGGTCGCGAAGAGTCAGACTCGACTGTGCGACTGAACAACAACAACAACAACAACACCCCTACTTTCTTGAAACCTCTTGCTGTTTTGCTCAGGCAAGGGCCTCTCAATTGACTTTGCACTTTCATTCCAGGCAAAATTGGGTAGCAACTCATGTGAGGTCCCCATCCTGTGGGTCGCAGCCACTGCCTCATTGCAACCAGGATGCCCAAGGCTGACCTCTCCATGCTCATCCAAGCCTTGAGGAGTGCCGGCAGCTACTGTTTCTGTCCTGTCTTGATAAATGCTTCTAAGAAATACACATTAAGGCAATGTATTCACAGACATGGAGAACATCTGTCATATGCAACCACTGTTTGGCTTCCACTTTAAGTCTCTAGCCTTCCCCTCCTCTTCCGCGGGCTTTGCATTAGTGCACTAATATCCCACAGGCCAATAAAAAGATTAATTAGGATGCAGGAGGTAAGAACAATTATCCTGCTGTTAAGGAAGTTCAGGAAAGCAGAGTGTCTGTTGACTCAAGATTAGAACGGCAAACAGATTAAATTAATTAATTACCCAAATAATTTCAGATTCCCAAGATTACAGGTGGGAGTTTTAAACAAAAGATACACTGTGTCTGACAAGGGCTGTACTCCAAGGGTTTGGTTTTGTTTTACGCCACATAGATCACATGGCCAAATGTGTGCATAGAAATGCACAGAAAACCAAATCAAAGGGGATTTAATGGGGTGCGTGTGTGGAGGGCACACATACACCGATTTGGATGAGAGCGCATTGAGATTCTGTATGGTGCAGTAGTGCGAATACTGGACTCAGACCTGGGAGACCTGGGTTCAAATTCCCACTCAGCCATGAAACTCATTGAGTGACCTTGAGCCAGTCGCTTTCCATCACCCTTCCCGGCCTCATGTTCTGAGGGCAACCTGCGGGAGGGCAGAACTTTGTACCCTGCCCTGAGCTGCATGAAGGACAGGATCACATTACCAAAATAATTAGGTAACTGGTCTCAGGTATTTTGGATCATGGGTGGACTGACAACCATGCACAGTCTACACTGTTTTGTATCAGAATCTCCATAGCCCACTGACGGGTTTCAAATAAAGAGCCTTTCCCTAAATAAACCAGGCCAGATGCTCACAGCAGATGCTTTCAGAGGGGTATCCCTTCCGCCAGGTTCACCCCTTCCCTGCCAGGGTCTCATGCGTTCTGGGCATGGCATCATTTTGATGGGATGGACTGCTGGAGGAGATGCCAGGGGCACCCAGAGCCTCCCGGAGGGCTTGCAAAGTAATCTTCCAAAGCGCCTTCTTTGATTATGTTCTCAGATTTTACCTGTGGGCGCTGGAAACATTTACGGGCTTTGAGGTGTCCTCAGTACATTTCCGGTTGAGTTTGTTTCCCCCTTCTCCTTTGCTTGCTCCAAAACCTTCACCTGGCCATGCCTACGTTCTAAAAGCACTTGGGGGGGGGGTACCAAGAAAGGCACTAGTGGCTGCCAGTGGTGTCAGTGGGCACCAGGTTGGGGACCCCTGTTTTAAGGCCTTTGCAGCCTCTGAATGTCCTTCCTGTTACTTCAGGCATCTCGGTTCCAGAGGCACCCTGCCTCTGTAGAGTCTTGAAAACATATATCCATAAAGTCAAAGAAGAGAAGAAACCTCCCCACACACACTTCCTCCAATTTGAAATTAAGTAGACTAGTGAATGCTCACATTGCAAAGAACGTGGGGTTTCATCTGAGGATGAAAACTTATTTGGAGGGAGCTCTTAATACCCACCACGGTTCTTAAGACATGGAACAATACCGCCTCACTCTATTTGGAAACTTCACATTCTTGAGATTATTTTATCACAGCTGGGCAATTTAGTTTAGGCCCATAAAAGAGGATTTAAAAAAAAACCATACATTATCCAGAATGCGATACCTTTGTGACTGGAAGTTCCTTGGATTTAGACTCAAAGAGATGCTCCAGCTTGGAAGTGTCCACCTTAATAGGTTCCAGTTTTGACCACAGGAATCCTTTGCAGCGCTTGTTGTTCTTACACTCAAACGGCCTCACCTCGTTCCAAAACAGGCGGATCGTCTTCTTCTTCTTAATAAAAGCTGGCTGACCCCTATGGAGCGGGGGAGATCCTAAACCCTGAGGAGTGCCAAACAGGGGAGGGGGAACCAATAAATTACCAGAGGGCGGGGGTGGAGGTGGGCATCCATAAAGCAAGGGAGGGGGCGGAGGGGGCAAGCCGAAAAAGGAAGGCGGGGGTGGGGGAGGGGGGGCCAGGGAGTCACCAGGACCCATTTCCACGTCCAAAACATCAATGTCGTCGTCGTCCCTCAAGTCCGTAAAATCCATGTCTTTGATTTTAAGTTCCCTCGGATTGGCCAGCAGCTGATCCCAAATATAGTCAGATTCCTTCTTAGCCTGTGTTGGTGGTGTCTTTTCAGAGACCTTCTCACAGAAATCACTTTCAGGGAAGTTCGAGCCTTTGGCCAGCTCACCATTATTGAACCGTTCTGCAAAGGCCTTCACGCTGCCGTGGTTGTCCAAACTCCCAATCTCCATTTTTTGGACACTGAGATCTTTGGCCTGCTTGGTGGCCTGCAGGACCGAGATCCTGCTGGCCAGGCTGGTGATGGTGTCTTCACTCGCCTCCGCCACCTCCTTTTCCTCCGCCGCCTTCTCCTCCAGCTCTTTAGCCTCCTCCTCATCCTTGGACTTCTTGTTATGGGCATACAACATATCCAGCATGAACCGCTTGTTGTTGAGGATATTGCTGCCCTGGTCATTCACACCGACATCCTGAATGGTCTGTAACCAGGGACCTGAAATCACAGAGAAACAATGAATGGGAGTGGGAAAGGAGGCAGAGGGCCCATCCACACGCAACTGTAGTGGCCAATGAGAATGAATACCATTTTCTAGGGGAGCTGGATATAAAGCAAGAACACCCTTTTGGAGCGTAATTTTCCAGACAGCAGTGTTTCGTCATAGGGTTTTTTAAAACGTTCTTAGCAATGTCAGGACAAACTACATGCTTGAGGTTGCTTTCTGTGTTCATAAAAAAGAAAGTAGAATCTTTATTTAACATCTTAGTAGTTTTGACCCATTTACTTTTATTGGGTGCTTAACAGACAGCCTCCCGTTCTAACCTGTAGAAACCTATTCGAAGAAAAGGACAGGACTGAAATACCAGAAAGGTTACTTCTGCAGCATGTTCGGAATGGGGGAGAATCATGAACTGGTGGCAGAAAGTTCCGTCAAGGTGAAGCCAACTAACGGTGACCCCAGAGGGTTTTCAGGGCAAGAGATGTTCAGAGGTGGTTTCATAACATCACAGAATCAGAGAGTTGGAAGGGCCCCAACAGGCCATCTAGCCCCCTGCTCAAGGCAGGATCAGCCTACAGCATCCCTGACGAGTGTTTGTCCAGCTGCTGCTTAAAGATTGCCAGGGAAGGGGAGCTCACCACCTCCCCGGGCAGCTGATTCCACCGTTGAACAACTCTCACTGTAAAGAAGTTTTCCCTAAGATCCTGCCGGAACCTTCCCGGAACCCATGATTGCGAGTCCTGCCACCTGCTGCCAACAGGAACACCTCCCTGCCCTCCTCTAAGTGACAGCCCTTCAGAGCAATCATGTCTCCCCTCAACCCTCTCATTCCCAAGTCCCTCAGCCTTTCCTCACAGGGCTTGGTCTCCAGGGCCCCGATCATCCTCGTTGCTCTCCTCTGCACCCGCTCCATTCTGTCCATACCTTTTTTGAAGCTGCACACAATGCTCCAGGTGTGGCCTGACATTTCCATTGTCAGAAGTCTCACTGTCATTGCCTGCCTCTACATTGTGACCCTGGACTTCCTTGGTGATCTCCCATCCAAGTACTCACCTGGAGCTGACCCTGCTTAGCTTCCGAGTTCTGAGAAGGCTAGCCGGGGCCATTCAGGTCAGAGCAGTCATGAACTATTCCATCCAAAACCCAAGCTCGTCTCTTTAACTCTGTGCTGAGATTCAAAGCATTTGGTCTACTCTACCCACTCCACAGGGGCAAATGCACCAACTATCCAAAAAGACTGGAATCCACACTAAGTAACCAAAAGCTCAGATGTCAAACCCAGGTACCAGAGTACAGAAAGGACGCATGCCCAGGATTCCTATCGAAGCCACTCAGATTCAGAACCAAGTAGTTTCCTTGTAGTGGGAAAACGTATGGGACACCCCTATGCAGAGTCATGCTGGTCTAAGCCCGTTCAGAATGCTTTGACTGTCCAGCATGAGCAGGGAGATGAGCTTCTTCTATGCACCATAACTTCTGTATGTGGCTCTGCGTCTGGCACAGCATCCCTCCATGAAAAAACGCAAGCGCCATAATGCAGAGCTCTCCCCCATGTCTGGGCATCAAGAGGTCCTGTATGTTCCTGGCGCAGCACTAGACGGAGTCCTCTGTGGGGCCAATCAGAATGGGGACCGGGAAGGCCTGGGCCTCAAGCCCAACAGGGAACAGGAAATCTGCGACACCTGGCTATTCTTTGGATTTGGGGAAGTTACAAAACATGCATTTTATGGGGCACCACGTGCCATCATTGTAAAACTTTTATGATGATTAGGGGGCCTGAAAAGCCGGAAGTGGCCTGGCCCTCTCTGGACAAACTGGAAGCTGCCCTGTACTGAATCAGACCATTCGTCTGATTCGGTCTGGATCTAAACATTTTCTGCTCTTTAGAAAAATTTAACTGCCAGGGTTTTTGATATTTAGTTTGCTGAATTTCGTTATGGCTTTGCTTTTAAGTTTGGAAGCGTAATGATAGTCCAAGAATAAACAGCAGGCAAAATAGAAGGTAAAAACAGTCTGCAAACCCTCATGCTGCAAACAAACTGTTGGCACAAACAGCTGTGATCTCAAGGGCAATACTGTACAAAGAGACAATGGGTCCCAGGGATTACGGAGGTCAGCAATGGGTAAATCTATGCAGCTGCTCTCAGAGAACCAAGCTGAAGGGTAAGTGCAACCTCATTTGTTTTGCCACCATTGCTGTCTAGAAGCTGATGACTGACTATGCTTTGGATGTCTGGTGAAGACTTCCTGGTTGCTTTGGCCCTTGCGTTGACGGGGCCCTCCGCCTGGACCATGTTTCAAGGAATAACGGGATAATCATCTGTTCACTAGGCCCAAGAATGTGAAGATTACGGAACCTACTATGTTTACAATACAAACTGCAATAATCCACTATGGTACAGAATTCAAACAATCAAGCACTGCCATCAATGCATGTTCATCAATAATCCAGCCAAAACAACATCTTCCATCTGAGAAGAACAAGACTGGAGACACGTTTCCTCATTCTAAGCCATTTCAGTAGCTTCATCAATGACCTATCTCACGGGGAAATAAGGCCAAACTTGTAAATACAGGGAAGGCACTTTTACTTCTACAATTAAGTGCACGAACTATATTGAAGGTGAGTAATTTTTGGACCGAGACCAGACTTAAATATTTAGGAAGTAACTCACTAATAATGACATCCTAAGGAGAGCTATACTTGTGTAAGTCTCTTGAAGACAGTGGGCTTGAGAGGGTGCAACTCCACATCAGATGGCAATGTTATCAACACACTTTTTCTTGTTTAAGAATTTCGTGTCTCTTTCTAATAATGAAATTTCCATGGTCTTGCAGAAAAGTGGAAACCTGTATTATATAAATTGCGCAAATTGATAAATGGGGTGGATAAGCACCACTCAGAGAAAGGAAGAAGTTTGAAGAGTCATGTAAACATATAAATACCAGCAATATTTTTTTGGGGGGGGTATTTAAAAAAAATATGTGTGTGCGTGAGTGCATTTGCACCTGGAAGTCATGGTGACCTCTGGTGACTGACCCCTACTGGGGCCTGGAGGATATTCAGAGAAGTGGCTGAATAAAGCCTGCCCCCACCTCCCACCTCTGGTATTTCAAGTACTTGCCAGAGTCGACCCTGCTTAGCTTCCAAGATCTGACAAGATCCAGCTTGCCTGGGCTATCCATGTCAGGACAATACCAGCAGTATTAATAAGGGGATTTCCCTTTAAGAGTGAGGTGTTTAAGACCTGGCACATCACATTTTACTGTTTCAAGTCTATTCATATTGAAAGAGAGTATTTATTCATTGTTTACATGGTGCTATAAAATTGAAGACTGGAAGTAGCTTTGTATGTAATTATTGTATTTTTGGATTGTAAGATTTTTGTTATCTATTCTAATAGGTTTCACATTTATTCTGAATATTTTCTACAATATATGTAGCCAGATTTTGTATGGTGTGCTTTGTTATTGTGTGGAGAAACCAATAATAGCCAGTTCTGACCCCACATTCCACACTTGCAGGTCATAGTCTTGCAAGCGCACAATACACTTAACCTGCCTGAATTAATTTGAACAGTGGAGAACAGGTCTATGTCATTAATACAGCCAAGGAGTCTGATGCACAGAACATGCAGTGCAAACTGTTCTTCTGTAGTTACAAGGTTTATGCTCCTTTGCCAATACTGGCTAAATCCAGTTGTCATTCTTGCCACTTCAGAACAGCCTACATGTAAATCTCTGCTGTCTGATGAAGAGAAGGAAAGCAGAGGAATCAAAGAAGCGCATTCCTTTGGAGCTCAGTTGTCAACTGCCTTAGCAATATTACCGACTAACAAAGATGTCTGATGTTTTTCATTTCCAGGAATGAAAAGTGCCTATTTAGAATTGCAAATGAGTGTTCTAAATAAAGGAATAGGGTGCCAAACAGCCAGGTCTTTAAATAGGAAAAAGGCAGACTAATGCTAAGATCTGAAGGGATGTGTGAAATAGCAATTTGGAAGATCCTGACCTTATGAAAACTGCATATATGGTTTGGCAGATAATTGTCCTGAACTTTCAGGGTCCCTTTTCAAATGAGGGGGAAATGAAACTGATGGTACTGTGCATCCCTCAACTCTGTTTCTGACCAGGCAGTGAATTTAAAAGGAATTTTGAAATGTGAGTGCAGGAAACCATCCTGATAACACTTCAAATAGCACAGAAAATGGTTGGTGAGAAACCTTTCCCCAATGGGACACTGTCTCTTAACCAGCAGCCGAATCCTTCCAATTCTGAGACTCTGCACCAGGGGTCCCCAGCACGGTCCCTGTGGGGGTATATCCTTTCCTTAGGTCAGGGGTCTACAACCTGGTATCCACCTTTCAAGGTGCCCAAGTGTTTTTAGAAAGTGGGCAGGGCCAGGTAGGGCTTTTGCCCAGCAAAGCTTCTGATTAGCTGTTGGAGACTTGATTGGCTGTGCAGATTTCTAAAAACGTTGCTTTGGCAGCAGCTGCCTCCACAGCATGAGGATCTTCACTGTGTGACTGAAATTAACCTGCGGCAATCATTTTGTGCCTGGCCCCGCCTCCTGCGGCAGCCATTTTGTTGCTGCATCCACCACGCCATGTCAGAATTCCAAATATGCCCACAGACTCAAAAAGGTTGGAGACTCCTGCTCTACACAGAAAACCTCCCCTGGATTCTATACTGAATGTCTGTGCAGTGAGGTTCTAATAATGGAGGACTGCCCAATGACAACCTGAGTGCAGTGCTTTGTTTCCTTACAACACGTGTAAAAGTGAAGCTGCTGTTTCAGTGTTAGGAAAATGACCCACTGGGATGGGAAAAGGGCTCCACTGTACCAGTCTCATTGTCACTGGTTAGCTTGTCCTCCCTCTCTAAAGTGCTGCTGGCAGAGGAGATGCTGGAGGCCGAGCAGTTGTCCTTCTCGTTCACTTCCTCATTCTGCCGCTCCTTCTCGCTCAGGACGGTGCTTTCTTCTGGCTCTGGACCGTGCTCTGCTTCGCTCTCTGGCTCCGCCTCCGCAGCCTCTACCTCGCGAGGCGTTTCTGCTCCTTCATCATCCTGCTCTGGTTTCGTTTCTCTCTCTGGCTCCACTTCCGGTTCGCATTCAGGCTCGCTGGCACTCACTGGTGAAAAGAACAACGGAGAAAGAGATTCACTTAGAAGAGCACCTCCTGCTGCCTGTAGCCAAGGGAGTTCCGTCAGTTTCTGTTCCTCCACGGCACCTCAATGGCCGTCTTTCAGAAATGACTGGGCCTGAAACACAGCGGTGGGCGATGGCTCCACTCAAGTCACTTTGTAATTCTGACATTCTTTGCCTGAGTCAAGTGGCATCAAAGTCTGAAGTTTATATTAATATAACATATATATATTTATATATTGAAGAGTTCAGCAATCTAGGTATTAAATACCTTATTATCCCATCCACACTGGATGCTGAAATACGACTTCAAGCAAGCAAAGTTCAACGACAAAGAGCAACACAAGGTGACTTTCAGAACAAAACTCAAGTTCAGTGGCACCTTTAAGACCAACAAAGTTTTATTCAAGGTATAAGCTTTTGTGTGCACACACACTTCTTCAGATACATTGAAGTGGAAGTTACCAGTCCATACATATAAATAGAGGGTGAGCAGCAAACTAGCATACAACATAATGAAGGTGTTTAACAGATGCAAGGACCAAACAGGAATAACAAGCTTAGCTTATATGGGCACCATTTGTTTGGATTTAATTATGGGGGAAAATACATAGTGAATCAAATAGATATATCAAAATTGGAGACTGATGTGTAAATGTTCCCTTCTTAATTGTGGACTGCTGAGAGTAATTAACTGAGACCCTGTTAGGCTCCATCTGTCTCCTGTCAAGCGTGGAGGTAATTCTACAGCATCCTTTTCTTTAAGGTGAGGTGACTGGTTGTGCAGTGTCATGTCTCCTCTGTCACCAGACCAGAGAAATACATTCCAATCCACCATTCCAAAGATGTTGAAAGGAATTCTTGACAGCAAAGGAGGTTTCATCTAGTGTGGAATGCTTACACACGCACACACACACACACACATACACACACACAGAAGTGCACATGCAATAAATCCATTGTGCTAGTTTTATGACTACGGCAAATGCTGGTGCTTAGAAAGGGCAGAGCCATGCATTGATCTGACAGAAAGCCAGCTGTTTCCTCAGGCCTGTTTTCTTCAGAACAGCCACATCAAACACCCGCTTGTCATCTGGCAGCCACTGAGCTCCCAAGGGTCAGGCATGTGGCATAGATTGGTTTCTTAACTAGCTGACGTCTGGCACGTGCTGGTGACCTCCTCCTCTTCCTCTTCCTCATCTTATCACTGACACCGGGAGAAATCCAGTCATTCACCTTCCCCTCCATCTGCAGCTAAGCCAGCAGACTTTCACATGCATGCTATTTTCTGCCGTGCTGTGAAGAAGCCAGAAGCCAGCCAGAGGTATCCACAGTCAAGTAGCCCGCAGTTTGCAAACACGGGAAATGGCCATGCAAAAGTGATGGGAATGGGAGCATGCATGCTGAATTTTGTGCATTCCTGAAATCACCTCTTTGCTGCTCTATACATTCTCTTCCAACTTTTTGCCTTGTGGCCAGCTTTGCAGTTCTACAATGGCATTTTACCCTGAGTGGAGCTTTGCAGTGATCTGTACACTGAGATTTGCCTTTTTGGTCATGAATTTGGATGAATCATAAAGTAAGAGAAAAGGAGAGGGGAGTCCTTGCTCAACACAACGGTCTTGTAGCAGGAGATATGGGGAGTCTGTCTCAGAAATGATAAATTAAAACCAGGTACCACCTTGATTACTTGAAGGCTATCACAGTGGCTTAGGACAGGGGTCTCCAACATGGTGCCTGCTAAACATTTTTTTAGAAAGTGAGAAGGGTCAGGTGGGGCTTTTGCCAAGCAGTGTTTATGACTGGCCATGTGCAGATTTTTTTTTTTTTTACATGTTGCTTTGGCAGCAGCTGCCACCACAGCACAAGGATCTTCATTTTGTCACTGAAGGCAAGCTGTGGCAGCCATTTTCTGGCTGGCTCCTACAGTGGTCAATTTGTGGTTGTGCCCACCATCCTGTGTCAGGATTCCGAAGTTGCCTGCAGGCTCTCAAAGGTTAGGGACCCCTGGCTTAGCACATGTTTGGGACATGAACATTGTAATTAACAAGAGTCGCCCAAGAGAACGGTTTTAACGGGGTTAGGCTCAGGGGAACATAACGGGGATTTGTGCCCTTACCTTTGACAGACACGGCAAAGCATCTTTTTTTTCAAAGTCATACAAAATCTATATCCAATAATTTTTCCCAAAACAAATCTTGGCAACAAAATGACTAATATCCAGAACAAGAAAGACTTTGGGGATTTTAGGATGAAGCACTTTCCCAATTTCGTACTTCTAAATGAAGGATGACATGGCATACAAAGTACCACATTTCACCAAAAGATCACAACACTAATTTGATGAAGACTGCAGGACCTATGGACACAGGAAGTGGGGTCTTCCTAGAAGTGGGAAGCTTTATGGAGGAGAGATCTACCAGTGGTTCCCGGCCAAGAGAGCCATTCCTTCCATGCCCGTGTGGTGAGCATCAGGAAATATTTGGCTGACCGCTGATGGAAACCAATTGCTGGGCTACAGGACCCCTTGTTTCCATCTGCTAAGGTGGGTTCCGGATGCTGCGAGGCAGGAAAAGAAATAAGGAAGAGAGTCATTGATTTCCCCCCACACTTCTTCCTTATTCTTTGTACATGGAATTTCTTGTGGGTTTCAACTGATGGCAATGCCACGTGCCAGTTAAAGTTGCCCTCTTGGCATCTACTACAATCTGTCCCCTGTGAAGCAGGTTCCTCGAGGGGGGGCGGGGGGGGCGATGCTTCTGGGAGTTTTTAGGAGGCACTGGAAGGCCATTTTATTTTGAAGACTGTTCAGTGGGGTTCCAGCGGCAGACATATGCTGGGGTCAACTGGTATTTTTAACTGAATTATGTTGCTGCTGTTATTGGGGAGGGGCTGTGGCTCTGTGGTAGAACATCTGCTTAGCATGCAAAAGCTGCCAGATGACAGACCTCAGGTGATGTGAAAGACCTCAGCCTGAGACCCTGGAGAGCTGCTGCCAGTCTGTGTAGACAATACTGACTTAGATGGACCAAGAGTCTGATTCCGTATACGGCAGCTTCAGGTGTATAAAACATAAGCTGCCATGAACTACAAAAGGGAAGGTGGCATCTAATTCTTTTAAGATAATAATAAATTAACCACTTTTACTCTGGCCTAAGCTTTTCAGGCAAGAATGTTCCCAAACATTAAAGAATCCCAGCTCTTCTATTACTGAAATTCTACATTCACTATAGAACCAAGAAACTGCATTGTAAAAGTCTAGGCACTGTCTTGAGTCTTGGGATCCAAGAACTGCAAGCTTGAATTAAGGGGGGGGGGATCACAAAGGAACAAGGAAGGGGTTAGCCTTCGGGATCAGCCTGGCATCTGCATGGCAGACCACACAACGTCCGGGCCAGAATGTCCAGCCCGTGTGGCACAGGGAGAAGCTACACATTCCCAGGAACTCTGGCGGGAAGTGCTGCTAAGTTCACCGTGGACTACTGGAGACCCTTCTCTCAAGGCAAGAGACAAACACGCAGCAACCCCGGGCTTCCCTGGTGGTCTCCCATCCAAGTACTGACCAGGGCGGACCCTGCTTAGCTTCTGCGCTACGGGAAGCCCACCCGCTCACCCGTCTTCCCCATCCTCCAAGGGAGAACCCTGGCATTCGGACGAGGGAAGCCGACAGCAAGCCCTGCTTCAGAATGCCCCACCCCCCCTTTCTGGAAAGCTCAGAGGGCGCCAAGGGAAGGATCGGCAAGGGTCTCAGTGCCCACGGGCACTGTGTTGGGGACAGAGAGCAGCAGGGTTTCATTCCTCCCTGAGCCGGTCTCTCCACGGAGGGGATGGGAATTGCTCGGCGCATCCCCCTCTCTTTGCATAGGTAGCCACCTCACACACTTCTGTGCACATTTTTGTCAAGCTTTCCTCTGGCAAAGCGTAGAGCACCTGCTGTCTGCCGAAAATGATGCCACACCTCCACTATGGAGAATTATCCTGTGCACCTGTTAGACATCTATTCCCTGCACATGGCAAAGCACTCCACTTTATAATGTAATGTCTGGACTAATTCCCAGAGACATATGCTAAAGTAATCATCATAAAAGAGATAGTTACATTCTGTGCAGATCTGAAAAAAAAAATCTTAACCTGATGTTGGATTTTAATAGCTGCCATTCTGAACATTTTTGAATCAAAGTGATTTCACAGATACATGGCCACTGCAGAGATTCTAATGCTCAGGGAAAAAATGGCAATGCAGAGAAGAAGCCATGCAAATTGAAATTAAGCATGATAGAGCACGCCCAAAGTCACGGTTTCATATTGATCCTTATTCGAAAGGACAGGTCTCACAGCACACTTCAAGCTACAGGAGTCAATACAGGCCAAAAGCTTCAGCTGTAGAAGCCGCAGACACCAAACACACGTCACGGAGGCAAAACCAAGTGAAAGGGCAACAACAATGATAACTGGCTCCGCACATGCACAGGCCTCAGAACCATGCAAGGTAAAGCATTTGAGAAAGTCTCTCCCCCTTAAGAAAGAAATTTAGAGTCTTACCTTGAAGTAAAGAAGTCAGAAACACACAGAATCTCTCTGTGTGCACAGACACCAGTGGCCAAGAAACCTCATAAGAAACCAATCATGGTTCAACCCATCCAAAATCAAGCCCATGGGTCTTAGCACGTGCTTCTCACCAGTGAAACCAACAGGATTTAAAAGCGACAAACTTTGGCTTGGTCATCATACTCCATATTTTGTCTTCCATTTCTTTCCCAACGACTTGGCCTCTTGCAAACCCATTTCTAACTTTGCACCGCATCTAAGAATGCATTAGTGTCTCCAAAGGGCGGCTTTCCAGTCATTCTGTGTTTCCTAGATTCAGGTGGGTGGCCATGTTGGTATGAAGCAGCAGAACAACGTTTGAGTCCAGGGGCACCTTGAAGACCAACAAAGCTTCATGGCTTTGTTGGTCTTAAGGGTGCCCCTGGATTCAAACTTTGTTCTGTTTTTTCTTGTTCGGCACAACCCCTGTTGAAAGACTGGTCCTGGCAATTCCAAAGTTACGCTTCTTCAGAGAATCCTCATGAACAAAATTCAAGCCCCTCTAGACACAACTGACTTCTTGCACGTGCAGAAGGGCTTCTAGGCTCTCCTCAAGCACATCCACAAACTGCACTCAAAGTCAAGTGGGACCCAAGTTCCAAAACAGCTTGCAAAGCTGGGTGCCTTATGGCTCCTAAGGGGAGAAGAAGAAGCTTTTAAGCCCTATAGGGCACACATGGGTCTTGGTGGGTGCGCCTTTGGACCACAGCCTGGAATGGACACTGCTCTTTCAAGGCAGGAGCTAAAGGGAATTAAGAATTTAAGTCTCACTGAGTTCATGTATTCAGCCCTCCAGCCGAAACTGAGGAGACCTCAAAGTGCTTATTCATTTACTTCTCTTATACCCCACCCATCTTCCCCAATGGGGACTCTAAGCAGCTTATATCATTCCCCTCTCCTCCATTTTATCCTCACAACAACCTTGTGAGGAAGGTTAGATTGAGAGTATGTGACTGGCCAAGGTCACCCAGTGAGCTTCCATAGGAGAGTGGGGATTCGAACTTGGGTCTCCAGATCCTGGTGAGACACTCTAAGCGCTATACCACACCGGCTCTCAACTCTTAACTCTGACTGGATCACCTGCCTTCTGGGTTCTAACTCTGCAAGCACCACTAGGCAAGGAATACGATGCTAAATGTCACGTGATATATGCTAGAGTTCTTAAAAAGAACACTGTGAAGTCAAAAGGAAGTATTTGAATAATATATGGAATTTCAGCATTAATCCACTAGGAAAAAACACGTGTTAGGAAAGAGGTTTGTCAGCAAGAACTCTCCCTAAACAAAATGCTCTCTCCTGCACCTGCTGCAGCTCCAAGACGGAATGCACAGCTGCTTGCGCTCCCTTTAGGGTTCACTGGCACTTACCTTCCGGGGCCTGAAGTGTCCCGCACAATGTCACAGGGGTGTTTGGTTCCTCCTGAGAATCTGTCGATGCAGGGCTGACACACTTGGGAAGGGAAGCGGTGGAGACCAAAGATCCCCCCAAGTCCAGAGGCAAGTCGCTCCTGCCCCTAGAGACGCTCCGGCTCCTCAGCTCTTTCTCATACTCCTCTGCGGCCAATTTCTCCAAGTATTTGTATCTGAAAAGTCAAATTCCAAAGGGATGCCGTAAAGAAGGAGAAAGCTTGTTGTCAGCGCTTTGTTTATGGATGAAACACCTGCAGGAAAAAGATCTGCCTTCCTGGCACATGAGGCACTCGGCAACACTCACTGCTCAGTTAATCTTCCCGGTGAAAAAAGACGCACCAGAGCAATCTATATATATCTCTCTACCCAGAAAAATTTATATTATTCATATCAAACCAAGAGACATTAGAAAGTTCAGTTTGAAGAATACAGTCACTGTCTCCTTCTCGGTTAACATTTATCAGCTTTTCCTTTCTTTCTCTCACTCTCAAAAGAAAAGGCTGGAAGACTCAGTCCTAGTCTTGATGAAGGCGGAGGGGGAAAAATCTAGAGCCACACAGGAGAACAGATCCTGCAGTAAATAACGCCACATATAAATGTTTGGACTAAGAATGGCTTGAGTCTCCAAACCTGCTTCTATCTGCTTTGAGCGCACTGCATTTCATTTGGTGCTCTTTGGAGTCTACAATGGAAACTATTTTTTTTTAATCTAAAAGATTTCTCGGCTGGACTAGAGACATCCAATAGCTTGGATATGACGTCACATATAGTTTATTCATCAAAGTCAGTCGAAAAAGAACAAAGATACATCTGTTTTGCATTTGAGGCGGGCAGGATTTGCTAACTGTTTATTAAGACCAGCTACCAATTGTATTCTCCATACAGTGCTTTATACGTTCAGACCGAAATAACTTTGAAATATGTGCCCCTGCCAGATGTCTGCTAATTTTATCCACTGTTATTTGCTTGCAGAAACCATTTATGAATACAGATGTATTGTCTGTATTACTCAGATGTGAAACTGTGCAAAAAGGTGAATTGACACTAGCCTTCCGCATCCCACGTGAAGGCTGTCCAGTCTCCAGTATCCCAAAATGTCTTAATGTAGTGCCACATTGCCCAAAATGCTCACAAACCGAGCCACACTTTCCTACTAATTGCAGGTACACTCCACCATTACTTTGAGAGTGTGAAAGAATAAGAATTACCTATTTCAGAGAAGCGTGTCCCACTATCTTTCTGTACATCATTGTGTGGAAGGAGGTAAGCTTATACTATTGACTCATGCAGAGACACAATGGAAAGCCTCTCCTACGAGTAAGCAACAGTACGTCAAACTTCGCTCTTCTCAGTTTGCCATGGATGCCAGGGGGGAGGGAATTCCTTAGGTGGGGGGAGTGAGTGTGGAGTGTGTGACTGCGCTATCTTAGAGGCTGTAATTCTTCCAAAGAGCCTTTCCTCTCCCAGAGGAATGTCCTTGAGACTTTTGGTGTCAGCTTGCTTGTGTAGATAATGGGATCACATATTTCCCAGGTGAAAGATGGGTAGGACCGCTATGGCTAGGCAGGATGAATATGTTGTATGAATGACCATTAGGAGGGGTTTCATTCGAATTACCTATATTTGTAATTGTACCTGCCAAAATCTCCAGTTCTGAAACAGCATAGTTATGATCTGGATCATGTTTAAATCTCAATAAACATATCACTGCCAAAGAGAGTGCTGTTAAGAGTAACCTGACCCAGAGTCTGACAACAGTAGAAATGAGCAAGAGTCCAGCAGAACCTTAAAGACTAACCAAGTTTGTGGCAGGGTATGAGCTTCGTGAGTCACTGCTAACTTCTTCTAGCTGTATCTGAAGAAGTGAGCAGTGACTCAGGAAAGCTCATCCCCTGCCACGTATCTGGTTAGTCGTTAAGGTACTACTGGACCCTTGCTCTTTTCTACTGCTACAGACAGACTAACACGGCTGTCCATCTTGATTTATCCGCACGTAAGAAATTCTACTTTATCTTTGCATTGGGAATGGTAGCATGATCCCATCATACCCAGCAGAGAGATCCAGCAGCAGATGATCCACCCTTAGCAGAAGATGACCAGAAGGAAGCAGGGCTGGAGACCTCCATCTTACAGAAACACAGTGGATGGGCACTCACTCACCAGAGGTGTTAACAATTCAAGTCCCACAGCTTGGGAATTACATCATATTAAACTCTGTGAGGACACAGTTGTCTACTACATAATTAATTAATTAGCTACCTTATGGCAGTGTGTGTACTATAGCCAGGAGATCCTAAGATTGTCTGGCAGGCAGACGTTCTAGCTGTTTAGCGTTATGCACCACTAGGTGCAGTAAGGGTCTACTACAAACCGTTCCTTTAACATACAGGCAAGTTGCAAGCCCAGCCATGACTGCATGCACTCAAGCGCCACGAATCCATTCAAAAGAGCTGAGCTATGAATAGTGTTACACAGTTAAACTAGAAGGATTAAGAAAACCCCTTTCATCACTTTCTTAGGAATTATGCCCATGCTGGTAATTAGGATGGTAGTAAAATAGAAAAACAAAGTTTGAGTCCAGTGGCACTTTTAAGAGCAACAAAGTTTTATTCAAGGTATAAGCTTTCATGTGCATGCACACAAATTGACCTTCAATTAAAATCTTCAATTCAATTAAAATCTTCAAAATCGATCCACCTGAACTGATCTTCAATTAAAACAGGAATCATAGAATCACAGAATCAGAGTTGGATCTCCGGGGTCATCTAGTCCAACCCCATGCTGCACAATGCAGAGAATTCACAAATACTCCCCCCTCCACACCCGCAGTGATCCCTGTTCCATGACCAGAAGATGACAAAAAACCTCCAGGATCCCTGGGGGCCAAACTGGCCTGGAGAAAAATCGCTTCCTGACCGCAAAGTGGCGATCAGCATTTCCCTGGGCGTGTCAGAAAGGGCCAGGAGAGCTAAGCACTGAGGCAACCCTTCCTGCCCTCCCTCTCGTGATCTGCCTAAATTCACAAAATCAGCATTCCTGTCAGATGGCCAAGTATATATGCTCAACCAATCTAATGGAATGGGGTATTCAGGGGAGCTATACTGTCATCTAGGACACTTTCCTGGGAGTAAGCCCGATTAAATATCATGGGACTTGGTTCTAAGTAAAACTGCTTAGGATTGTTCTCTTTGTCTCTCAGCTGAGCAGATGGAACTCAGGGCTCACACAGAGAGCCTCTAACCCACAGGCAGGAACCTGAGTGACTAATGGGGTGCATGTGTTGGTATATCATAACAGACAAAACAGAACTGCCATCTACAGAGTCAGACTCTTGCAGGGGTAAGGTCAGCATTGTCTACTCAGACTGGCAGCAGCTCTCCAGGGCCTCAGGCACAGAGGTCTTTCACATCACCCACTACCTGGTCCTTTCCACTGGAGACACTGCCAGGGATTGAGCCTGGGACCTTCTGCAGGCCAAGCAGAGGCTCTACTCCTGAGCCGTGGCTGCTCCCATCTTCAGTCTTTTATGCTTCGGGCCCTCTTCCAAATGCTCTCACCTCTTTTGCTTCCGTGGCTTTTTGCTGCAAATACTGTTGAGCTAGAGAAATAGTAGCTGGCTAAACGCTTTACAGTTCAGGCTTCACATAAAAGGGACCAGATTGCACAACAACATCACACAACAGTGAGTTGGTAACTGGTTCACACAGACATGATCCAGTAGCATCATACATGAAACTGGATCAACTCGGTTTCTTACTCCCATCTGGTCAGCAAGTTTTGTGCACATTTGATGGATTTAATCTTGATCCTGATTCAGCCGCCTCAGCGTAATTAACACCCTTATATTTGCATTCCTGATAAGTAGTTTTATATCAGTTGGAATGCTCTGAAAGGCTCAGTTGCAAGATGTATATATCACTGGAAAATATTGTGACGTGGCTGGGTTGGAAGGTGGATACCAAAGACAATGGATTCCCAGGCCTGAAATGTGTGCCATATGCTCCACCTATTTAGCAAGACAGTAATTTTAGTCTGTCCTCTGGCAAACAAGGCCATGAAAATCATAGGGAATTAGTTGTTATTCTATTCCCTGGGCAGTCTGCCCTGTGGGCATGCTCTTGCCCTGGAAATTGTCATGGATTCCAGCTACAGGAGAACCTGAGGATATTAAAAGGGTGTGTGTCCCCTCCTACTCTATGTTAACGGTTACCTGAAGGTCTGGATCAGGTCCTGTATCAACTCACAATATCAAAAAATAACTGGGCCTCATATCCTACTTGCTCTACAAAATTGAGGCAAGCAAATAATTGTGCTCAGGGAGAAGGGACCCTAAAACCTTTCTGGATACCATCAGTTCACCCTGTGGTGGTGGATACCATCATCAAGTCACAGTTGGCTTACGGGGACCTTGTAGGGTTCCCAAGGCAAGAGACGAACAGAGGCGGTTCGCCATCGCTTGCCTCTGTGTAGCGGCCCTGGACCTCCTTGGCGGTCTCCCATCTAAGTCCTAACTGGGGCCAACCCTGCTTAGCTTCCAAGGCCTGACAAGATCAGGCCAGCCTGGGCCCTCCAGGCCAATCTCACCTGGAAGTGACCTAGGTATGCTGGGGACATCGGGGGGGGGGGACGACACTCTGGTTTTTGGGCAAAACTTTATGGTTTGAAGCTAATTCTACCATAGAGTTTTGTCCACAGATCAGAGCATCGCGCTCGACATGCTTGCATCATCCAGAAGTGACGTAGGCTTCTTCCTTCCCTTCCGGGAAGTGCATCCCAACCCCCATCCCCTGCCCGCTCGGCTAAGGGACCTGGCAACCCTATGCCCACGGCCCTACCACCTGCTTCCCCCACCCCTGCTGGTGGCACAAAAAGCAATTATTAGTTTCCTGCCAGGTCTTCTTTCCTGGACCTTTGCCTGCACTTGCTTTGGTAACAGTGAGTGAGGTGTTACATGCAGCCGCGAATTAAGCCATTCCTTGCCTGTCTATTTAGCAAAATGTTAACAAAACCAAGCACTTCTTAATAGCAGCAAATGCAAAGCAGGCCAAAGCAGCTGTAAGTAGTACAAACCTCTCTTCTCTTGCTTGTCTGAGTTCCTCTCGTTTATCTAGATAATTACGACTATAAAAAAAAAGATGCATACAATTACAGAGAAAAATAAAAATAAAAGGCAGGAAAGAAGAACAGAGCGAAGACAAGAGAGACAAAACAGGAAGATATAAAGCAGAACGCCTGTAATCTACGGATGTTACAACGATAACTTTTCTCGTTATACTTGTCTTCTATTAAGGGATATCTACTGACTACCTCTATTGGGATTATCCAGGGAGCTGACTAATGTTTTCCATAGGAAAATATGGGCATGATCCGCCACAGTTAAGACTTTTTATGTCCCACTAAATCAAATGGGAGTGCGGCTCATCTGCCTTGGACCTTTGGAATATCTAATTGGTAGAACTTATGGTTTGAAATTACTGTTGGGGAAATTAAGCTTCACATTTATATTTGCTAGATTCGAGGCCAGTAGAACCTTAGGGACCATCACGATTTTTGGGTTATAAGCTTCAGAGAGTCAAAGCTATCTGACAAAGCTTTGACTCTCAAACGCTCATACCCGGGAAATCTTCAGGTGCGTGGCCGTGTGGGTCTGAAGCAGCAGCACAAAGTGCAAGAGTCCAGGGGCACCTTTAAGACCAACAAGGTTTTATCCCTGGTATAAGCTTGAATCTGAGAAAGTGTGCTTGCATACGAAAGCTTATGCCTTGAATGAAATTTTGGTGGTCTTAAAGGTGCCACTGGACTCAAGTTTTGTCCTGAAAATCACGTGGGTCTCTAAGTGGCTGCTGGACTATTCTGTTAAAGACCAACAGAGCTACCCTCGACGACGGAAGATTCGCCCGCAGCTGAACCAGACTACCAGGGGAGAAACTGACGTGCAGCCGGCAAGATTGAAAGCTTTATTTCCCTCCTGCCTCAGAGACTCTGGCTGGAGCAAGAATCTGTTTTTAAAGACAGAATGAGACAGGTTCAGTAACTGGGTTCTTTTTAAAAAAAATTGTTTTGGACTCTTGCAAGTGCTGATGTTTGTTCTTTCGTAAAATAAATTGTCTTTCTCTTGAAAGACTGTGGTTAATAGATGTGTATTTGGGATCTGAGAAAGAAAGAGCCCACGGCACCTCTAGTGAGTTTCCCTTTCTCCAGGCTGGGAGGAGGGCTCTATCACCGGGTGCATTACAGCTTTTGATTTACAAGATTTTTAAAAAAGCATTTATATGTGTGTAATTGGGAAAAGCTTTTATAGAAAAATGAAGTATTTAAAGAAGCCTAACGGAGTCCTAATTCTTGAAACCAGTAAAGAAGAGGAGTCACACTTAAACGAACACGGGACGCTGCTGGGTGGTTATCATATGCTGCAATTCTTAGTTCCCCTAGAAGTGCAAAAGCAGGCTAATGTAATATTATCAGATAGCTGAAAGCTTTATACCAAATACAACATATGTTTTCCCCCCAGTGCTGTCACCTGACAGCAAACAAATCATTACCAAAAAAAAAGAACATCACCTACTTGAATTTGTTTCTCTCTTCACGCTCTATCCTTTGTAACCGTTCCTCCCTCTCCCGACGTCGCCTCTCTCTCTCGGCCGCCAAGGACTCTTGATGCTGCCGGTATGAGGATGTAAGAAGCCCACCCAAGGATGGCCTGTGGGTTTAAAAACAAGCAATAAACACCCCCGCTGGCCTGCCCTGTTGTAACTCTGGATGGCACTCACAGAGGTGGTCATTTTAATTATTTATTTATTTAAAACACTTATTAGCCACCTCCCCCCCCCTACAGAGCTCAAAGCCACTTACAATATAGATGAATTACATCAATTACAATACACTAAAAACTGGGAAAACAAAATGTCAAATCGTAATTCAGGACTGCTGGCAACTTAATCAAACGTGGTCCTAAATAAAACCATCTTCCCCTGCCACCTAAAGATCGATGGGAGGGGAGCAGGGGCACCTCCCTTGGGAGACTGCTCCATAATCGTGGGGCTGCCACCAAAAAGGCCCTCTCTCATATACCAACCAAACAACCTTTTTTGATGGATGGGACAGTCAGGCGGGCCTTTCCCTCTGATCTTAATTCCTGGGCAGGAACACATGTCTTAACTGGGCAGGTTAGCAGTTACCATGAAAAAACTATGGTTAACAGAAACTGAACTATAAAGACATCTTCCTGTTTATAGCAAGGGGACGATAGATAAATCATTTGCCAGAGACAACTTTATAGAAGGGTTTGAAAATGCTCCCAGACACATGGGGGATTCTTTGAATTTGTAATCTTGAATCAATATAAATGTAAAAGCTGCAATTGGGACATTATTCCATGTTTGCATAGTAAGGGCCTTGAAGGGTTCCATTAATGGGTGACCATCAGTGGAGAGAATTCTTTTCCAGTGGGAATTATACACCACACCACCCTCCCACCTTTCCACTGAAGTCAATGGACTTCACCACTAGTCTTCACTTGCCACTGAAAATGCAACAAGTTCTGCAGGGTTTTTTGAGCTCTTTGGATGCATCAAACAAGCATCAAATAAGGCCGGAACATCATTTCATATATAATGCATATCTTGTGGCCATCGCTGCTGCTATTTGTTCATTTTAAATTTCTCTTAGTTTTAAGTTATATGCTTTTATGGTTGTTAATCTATATATTGTTACACGCCCTGAGCCCGCTTGCAGGATAGGGTGGTTTATTAATCAAATCAAACAACAACAACAACGATGATGATGATATAAAATTGGCTTTTTAGAAAACAATTCAAAAGGTTTTTTGTTACTGTGTCAGCACTTCTACATAAATGATCAGGTCGATTCAGGGGGGTCGCTGTGTTGGTTTGAAGCAGCAGAACAAAGTTTGAGTCCAGACTGGGCACCTTTATGACCAACAAAATTTAATTCTGGGTATGAGCTTTCATGTGCACTCATGCACACAAAAGCTTTTACCCAGAAATAAACTCTGTTGGTCTTAATGGTGCCACTGGACTCAGACTTTGATCTATAAATGATCAGGAAAGCCAATGCAGGAAATTACCAGTGAATTTCCTTCCTATTCTTTTTAGGTTATGGGTAATATTTGGACTTGCGGGGGGGGGGAGAATATGGGGGAAGAAAATGTTCTATAATGAAGTATGAGGGAAACTGAAGGATTGCAGGGATGCCAGCCTCCAGGTGGGACCTGGAGATCCCCTGGAAAAACAGCTCATCTCCAGACTACAGAAACTTGTTCCCCTGGAGAAAATGGATGGTTTGGAGGAGGGACTCTGTGGCATTGTGCCCCACTGAGGTCCCTGTCCTCCCCAGGCTCCACCCCCCGAACTCCAGGAGTTTCCCAGCCTGGATCTGGCAGCCCCGAGGACGAGCACACTTTCCACCCTTCCCCTTTCCACCCCGGCAGGGAGAAAAGGAAGAGGCCGAACGGATGCGTTATTATGCCAAAGCAGCCCCTGACAGGTGTCTTGCTGTGAGAGGACCACCCCCTCCAGTGTGTGTGCCTGGGGAGAGAGGACCGGCCACCGGGGGGGGGGGGGCTCACTGGCAACCAGTGGGGTGGATCCTCCCCCCCCCCTTGCTGAGCACAAATGGAAGCCTTCCTCACCCATCTTCTGGCTGCCAAGAAACATACAAATTCCTTATGTTGCCACAGCAAGCTACTCTCTGGGGCACTTTGCAGCTATCGTGGACAACAAAGAAGTATCCCATTGGATGACAGCCAACGGCAGGAAGGAAGAGATATCTTACTTGCTACTTACTTATTTAAGGAGTGCTCGGCTACTGACAGAGGCCTCTATAGTGCGATGGTGCCCCGGCTGCAGTCTCAAGTACCAGGAGTGGCAATTATCGCACAGCCTTAACTGCCCTTCCTGCTCTGTAGCAGACCTTTCCATGTGAACTCTCAGTCTGGGGCAAGTGATGCTCTGTATTCTTGGTGCTTGGGGGGGGGGGAACAGTGGGAGGGCTTCTAGTGTCCTGGCCCCACTGCTGGACCTCCTGAGGGCACCTGGTCTTTTTGGCCACTGTGTGACACAGAGTGTTGGACCGGATGGGCCTTTGGCCTGATCCAGCATTGGCTTCTCTTATGTTCTTCTGTGAAAGTACACTTTCGAAAAGCCCCATCCAATGGAAGAACCGCTTAAGTTGGAGAAGACTTCAAACTTGAACCAAAAGGAAAAGAGGAGTATAAATATTTTTGATAATTTAATAAATGCATGAATAAACTTTAGATAGTGGAGTGGCAGGAGAGGGGTAGGATCGAGCCCAATGTTCCTCTTTTCATTAATTGACCCATATAACTAACCAGGTAGAAGCAGCAAGGAGAAGATGTGGGACGGTGGGACGGGGGAAAAGGTGAATATTCGAACAATTCTAGCTTTTGGGAGGAAGAAAGTCCCAGTATACTGAAATTCCTAGCTTCAGGTTCCTCTAACTACCTTACCAACAATGCGGCTCTATCTCCAAGGCCAGCAGAAAAAGGAAAAGGATTCCTATGAGTGGGATCTTGGTGCAGACATTTGCTAAAACGAAATTCAAGGACCAAAGGTAACCATGTCTATGCTGGGCCGCCCCGGGTGGTCTCCCTCCTCAAGGAGATGACCCAGCAGCAGCCGCTCCTGGGAAGGAAACTGAGACAGCTACTTCAGAAGGGCTTATCAAATTTTTTGCTTCGGAGTCTGAAGGAGGCCGCTAGCGTAATTAGTGGATACATTTTACAGATAATGTAAGTGAAAACAGATGTGGATTTATTTCATCCAGGCATTAATAATAACTCAAGTTTCTGGAATAAAAGAATTAGTACCGGGAAAAACAGAAAGACTTGCTGCCACTTGCCTTACAAATAAGCTTTAATAAAAATGTGCATGATATAAGGGTAAGCTAAGTAAACTTCTCATAACCAGAAGGGGCAGGAGGTGGATTGTTACTCTGATGACACCCGTCTTTTTTTTACCCCTTGGAGTGGTTTATACAAATAGCAGGTTATAAAAGAGAATGATAGGTGGAGTCCCAATGGCAGCAAGTCAATTTACGTACAATTTCAGTAATTTTTATGAAAAGTCAGAGGGGGAGGGCAGTTCCTTTTAATGATTTATAGAGGAGACAGTGAACATTTTCACTTAGTATCAGTAAGCAGTGTGGCGAACCCCATCCATTCTTTTCCTCTGTTATTCTGCAAGCACTAGGCCAGGTTAAGGAGACTGATCCTCACAGCTGTCTTGCTCCTCATGTCAACTGGAAGCATTCTGCTGGCTCACAGGAGAGGCAAGGCAACCCTGACTGGTTAGGGTAGGGGTCCCCAACGTGGTGCCCATGGACAACATGGCACCTGCGGACCCACCTAGAAAGTAGGTGGGTCCAGGTGGGGCTTTTGCACAGTACAGCTTCTGATTGGCCACTGGAGATCTGTTTGGCTGTGCAGATTAAAAGACACCCTACCGAACAGAGCTTCTGCCTGAAATGCTAAAGAGTAACCATTTTGTGGTTGGTTCCACCTCCTGTGGCAGCCATTTCGAAGTTGTGCCCACCACATGATGCCAGAACTCCAAAGGTGCCCGCGAGATCCAAAAGGTTGAGAACTCCTGGGTTAGGATAGTCCATGGGACCAGTCAAAGCCACAATATCCTTGTTCTAACTTATCTTGCCCACAGCTACTCTCAGTGATGTCATCACCTGTACTATTTGATCCCTGATCGGCGGGGTGGGATACACTCATGCTTTCAGAAGATGGTGAATTTTACTACATGCTACAGGGGGGGGGGAAAGAAGAGCATAATTTGGAGATCCCATCTGGGTGTTGCCTATAATATGTAGCATCAAACCCCTCAAATCCCAACTGCATTTATTGAAGATAGATTCAGGTGGGTAGCCGTGTTGGTCTGAAGCAGCAGAACAAAGTTTGAATCCAGTGGCGTCTTGAAGACCAGTAAAGTTTAATTCTGGGTATAAGCTTTCATGTGCACATGAAAAAGTTACATCTTGAATAAAACTTTGGTGGTCTTAAAAGTTGCCACTGGACTCAAACTTTGTTCTCCATTTATTGAAGTCATTACAAAACAGCACACACCATTAGCAGCCACAAAACAGACAATTCTGCAACAAAATCCTACCACTCAATGTCTGGCAGAACAGAAAATTCAGAGAGAGAGAAAGAGAAACATAAGGGGAAGTTGTTTCCAGGGCCGTGGTGTGACTAGTGAGAAGGCCCTGCTGCAGATGGATGCCAGCATGCTATCCATCTGAGATGGTACTCTGAATAGGACCTTTATAATAATAGTCAGGTGCAGTCACATCACAACACAACTGACTTATGGAAACCCTTTGTGGGGTTTTCAAGGCAAGAGACGTTCTGAGATGGTTGGCCATTGCCTGTCTCTGCTTAGCAACCCTGGACTTCCTTGGAGATCTCCCATCCAAGGACCAACCATGGCCAACCCTGCTTAACTTCTGAGCTCTAACAAGCTTGGGCTAATCAGGGCTATTCAGGCTGCTGGGTACCAGAAGATATGAAGGTGCGGGAAGAATCATAAAGGAGTAGGTGCTCCCAGAGATACTTTAGATTCAGACCGGTCAGGGCTTTAAAGGTGCTCTTAAGTGGTGCCCAGAAACAACTAGGTAGTCAGTGTAACTTCTGAAGCTCTGGTTTCACATCGTCAT